TAGTTTAATTTGAAGTTTAGTTATACTAGTAATGCTAGGTCTGTTGCACTTAATTTTTTGGACCTTGTGGTTCAGAATACATATAAGTGTTCCCTCAATACTGAACATTTTAGGAAACCTACATCCTGTAACAACCTTCTCATTGCCAACAGTTTCCATCCAAGGACCATAATCAAATGGATCCCAGTAGACCAGTATTAAGAGCTAAGAAATTGCACACTACTTGATGATTTTGAAAATGAAAGCAGCTACCCTGAACGAGAAGGTTTTGAGGAAGGGCCATAAACATAAATGGTTGTCCAAGGCTTATATGAAGGGCAAGGAAAGTGATGGGGTGACCTCTTTATATTGTCAGCAACATGTCCAGGACAATCAGACACATCTTTGTATACAATATACTACCTCTTCCCAGGATGTTCTAAGACTATGGCAAAGGCATTGGCATTTGTAGACTGATGATGTACTATTAAAGGAATTTGTTCCAGGAAAAACCTGCAGTCATTTATTACAGGGCCCGGTCCTTAAAGGACCTACTTGTTCGTAGTTCTATATGGATGAATGAAAAAGTGGACAAGTCACAGTTTGGTGTATCCAAATGTGGAAACTGTGATTACTGCCATTTAGTACTTGAGAACAGTGTTTTGACTCATGGAAACTGTTTTGGGAATGTTACTTGTGACCCCATAGGTTGGGTCTGTATCAGCATTTCTTAACCTTTTTCTAGTCAAGGTGTCCTTGAAAAGTATGTCTCAAGGCACCACAGTCTAATGCTTGGTTCACATTACTCTGTGTCACAGAACATGTGCAAGATCGCATGTGTTCCTGACAAGCAAACACGCTGCTCATTAGCAGATACACAGGGATGCCAATAATTCATTCTTAATGGCACCCCCCCCCCCCCCCCCCCCCCCCCCCCCCGCATAGGTGCCTTTTCAGTGCTGTCTGATTTTATCAAAAGGTTTGGGAACTCCTTTGCCATCATTCCTGAGGGTAGGGCTGTCCACTAAAATTAAGGGGCTGCCCTACATGCAGCATGCAGTCACATCAGATGTGAACCAGGGCTTAGTCACATGTGAGCTTAGGGGGTGGGAAAACAATGTGGTTGAGCCATTTTTACCACACCCAACTTCTCCTTTAGCCGCAGAAGCAGCAGCCAGGGGTATACACATGCTGTGGCCACAGCTGGAAAGATACCCCCAGGTGAATGGGGCTGCGCCAACTTCCCGCAACTGTGTGGTTGCAGTGCAGTGTTGCTGCAAAAAGGGGGTTAAAACAGGTGTCAAGGAGGTGACATATTGCCTCTTTGCTGCCTGTAAAATGCCTCTGAAAAGTAATATGAGTATGGATTGCTTTTCAGAGGAGTGGAAGTCCTTGCTGCAATTATAAACAAGCCCTAAAAAGCAGTTCTGATGGTACAGGAGTAGGAGAAATGACAAAAAGTAACATACATGTACATCTATACACACACGTATCAACAGACACATATTCACATACATATACACATACACACATACATACATACTTTTTCTTGCAACTGTATGTATGTATGTGAACCCCTTGGGATTACTTGGAGTTTTGCATGAATTGGGCATAAAATGTGCTCTGAACATCATCTAAGTCACAACAATAGAAGAACACAGTCTGCTGAACATAATACTACACAAACATTAGATGTTGCCATGGTTTAATTGCACATAACATGTAAATATTCACAGTGCAGGGAGGAAAAAGTATGTGAGGCCCTAGCTTAATGACTTCTCCCAGAGCTAATTGGAGCCATGAGTGAGCCAACCTTGACTCCAATCAGTGTGATGATATTGGATGTATTGCTGATAGCTGTCCTGCCCTTAAAAAACACACACCTGTTTTGGGTTTACTGGTTTCAAGAAGCACTGTCTTATGTGAACCATGCCTAGCAGAAAAGAGCTCTCAGAAGACCTACGATCAAGAATTGTTGACTTGCATGAAGCTGGAAAGGGTTACAAAAGTATCTCCAAAAGTCTTGATGTTCATGTGTCCACGGTAAGACAGACTGTCTACAAATGGAGAAAGTTTAGCACTGTTGCTAGTCTCCCTAGGCGTGGTCGTCCTGTAAAAATTACTGCAAGAGCACAGTGCAGAATGCTGCATGAGGTAAAGAAGAATCCCAGAGTGTCAGCTAAAGACCTACAGAAATCTCTGGCACATGCTAACATTTTTGTTGACACATCTACAATAAGGAAAACCTTAAACAAGAATGGAGTACATGGGAGGACACCACGGAGGAAGCCATTGCGGTCCAAAAAGAATATTGCAGCACGTTTGAAGTTTGCAAAAGAGCACCTGGATGTTCCACAGCACTACTGGCAAAATATACTGTGGACAGATGAAACCAAGATTGGGTTGTTTGGGAAGAACACACAAAACTATATGTGGAGAAAAAAAGGCACAGCACACCAACATCAAAACCTCATCCCCACTGTAAAACATGGCGGAGGGAGCATCATGGTTTGGGGCTGCTTTGCTGCCTCAGGGCCTGGACGGATTGTTGTCATTGATTGGAAAATGAATTCCAGAGTTTATCAAGACATTTTGCAGGAAAACATACGACCATCTGTCCGCCAACTGAAGCTCCGCAGAGGATGGGTGATGCAACAGGACAATGACCCAAAGCATACAAGTAATTCAATAAAACAATGGCTGCAACAGCACAGAATACGCCTTCTGGAGTGGCCCAGTCAGAGTCCTGACCTCAACCCGATTGAAATGCTGTGGCATGACCTTAAGAGAGCGATTCACACCAGACATCCCAAGAATATTGCTACACTGAAACAGTTTTGTGAAGAGGAGTGGTCCAAAATTACTCCAGATCGTTGTGCAGGTCTGATCTGCAATTACAGGAAACGTTTGGTTGAGGTTATTGCTGCCAAAGGAGGGTCAATCAGTTATTAAGTCCAAAGGTTCACATACTTTTTCCTCCCTGCACTGTGAATGTTTACCTGTTATGTGCAATTAAACCATGGCAACATCTAATGTTTGTGTAGTATTATGTTCAGCAGACTGTGTTTTTCTATTGTTGTGACTTTGATGACGTTCAGAGCACATTTTATGCCCAATTCATGCAAAACCCCACGTAATCCCAAGGGGTTCACATACTTTTTCTTGCAACTGTACATACATACAGTTGTGTTCAAAATAATAGCAGTCAGACATCACTAACCTGATCAATCACTGTTTTTGGTAGAAATGATATTTTTCTACATGGCAAATAATTTACTAGCAGGTGTAGTAGAGTAATAGAAATCCAACAGACCCAACAGTCATGACATGCATGCTGCTGATTCTGTGTAATTGAATCACTAATTGAAAGGGGCATGTTCAAAATAATAGCAGTGTGGAGTTCTATTAGTGAGGTCAATCATTCTTTGAAAAACAGGTGGCAATTATTGCCCTTATTTAAGGAAGGAAGGCAGCAAATGTTGTACATGCTGGTTACAGTGAAATTCTGAGGAAAATGGGTCGTTCCAGACATTGTTCAGAAGAACAGCATACCTTGATTAAAAAGTTGATTGGAGAGGGGAAAACATATAAAGAAGTGCAGAAAATGATAGGCTTCTCAGCTAAAATGATCGCAAATGCTTTAAAATGGCAACCAAAACCTGAAAGACGTGGAAGAAAGCGAAAAAACTACCATTCTAATGGATAGAAGAATAGCCAAAATGGCAAGGACTCAGTCAACAATCAGCTCCAGGAAGATCAAAGAAGGTCTAAAGTTACCTGTGAATACTGTTACAATTAGAAGACGCCTATGTGAAGCCAAGCTATCTGCAAGAAGCCATCGCAAAGTCCCACTGTTGAAAAAAGAGACATGCTGAAAAGGTTACAATTTGCCAAAGAGCACATTGACTGGCCTAAAGAGAAATGGCGCAACATTTTGTGGACTAATGAAAGTAAGATTGTTCTTTTTGGGTCTAGTGGCCGGAGACAGTTTGTCAAACACTGAATTCAAGCCACAGTACACTGTGAAGACAGTGAAGCATGGTTGTGCAAGCATCATGATATGGGGATGTTTCTCATACTACGGTGCTGGGCCTATTTATCACATATCAGGGATCATGGATCAGTTTGAATACATCAGAATACTTGAAGAGGTCATGCTGCCTTATGCTGAAGAGGAAATACCCTTGAAATGGGTGTTCCCACAAGACAACGACCCCAAACACACCAGTAAATGTGCAACATCTTGGTTCCAGACCAACAAGCTTGACGTTATGGAGTGGCCAGCCCAATCCCCGGAACTTAATCCAATAGAAAACTTGTCGGGTGACATAAAAAATACAGTTTCTGAGGCAAAACCAAGAAATAGAGAAGAACTGTGGAATGTAGTCCAATCATCCTGGGCTGGAATACCTGTTCACAGGTGCCATAAGTTGGTTGACTCCATGCAACACAGATATACAGCAGTTCTCAGAAACAGTGGTTATACAACTAAATATTAAGTGATTCAAAGGAAAGCAAAATCTTCAAACATTTTTCAGTTTATATAGTGAATGTCTGAGTTTGTAAAGAAGAATACAAACACAATTTTTTTGAACAGTCTAATATTCACTTTTCTTCAATTTTTTAGAGGAACAACACAAATTTGATATAGTTTTCTTCATATTTTGATTTGGAATAGAATGTGTAATGTTCCCAATGCATTTGTGTGTATGGAAATAAAAGCTATTAGAAGGATTTTGAGCTTTATTCACTTTTTTCAACACACTGCTATTATTTTGAACACAACTGTACATACACACATACATACACACACACACATACATACATACATACATACTCACACACAAACATACTCACATACAAATACACACATACATACATACATACATACATACATACATACAGTGCACACACATACAGTACATTATTGCCGAAAGTATTGGGACACCACTCCAAATCTTTGGACTCAGGTGTTCCAATCACCTCCATGGCCACAGGTGTATAAAATCAAACACCTAGGTATGCAGACTGCTTCTATAAATATTTGTGAAAGAATGCATTTCTCTCAGGAGCTTAGTGAATTCAAGCGTGGCACTGTGATAGGTTGCCACCTGTGCAATAAGTCCATCCATGAAATTTCCTTGCTACTAAATATTTCATAGTCAACTGTTAGTTGTATTATCACAAAGTGGAATCAATTGGAATCAACAGCAACTCAGCCATGAAGTGGTAGGTCAGGTAAATAGACAGCGGGGTCAGTGCATGCTGAAGTGCACAGAAGTTACCAACTGTCTGTACAGTCTATATCTAAAGACGTCCAAACTTCATGTAGCCTTCAAATTAGTACAACAGTGCCTAGAGAGCTTCATAAAATGGGTTTCCATGGAAAAGCAGCTGCATCCAAGCCTTACATCACCAAGTGCAATGCAAAGCATCGGATGTGGTGTAAAGTAGACCGCCACTGGACTCTAGAGCAATGTAGACGTGTTCTTTGGAGTGACTGGGTTTTTGGCGGTTGCCAGGAGAATGGTACTTGCCTAATTGCATGAGTGGAAGAACTTGTTCCAGACACAATATCACTATTTGAATTTCTACAGGTGATCAAACAAGAGTTCCAGAAAAAGACAATGGTGGGATCTGATTCCGGTTATTCAAAGACCTTGCAAAAGTATGTCCTCTAAACAAGTACCATTGTCTATGGGAAGCTAGGAGATACTTTGATAGCAGGAAACTTAATTAGTGGTTGTCAAACACCATTATTTGGACTTCTGCAGGTGAACATATACAAGGTCTGGAAGTGACAATAGGGGAACCAAACCTGATTGTCTGAAAGCTCACACAAAACCTTGGAAAGTGTGATGAACAAACCGTCTCCTTGAAATGTGACAATATGCTATTGAACCGAGGTTTTAATTCCAGGCCAGTCTATTTACCCTAATTCAGACAATAGGGCAAATAAATAAAGGTTTTCCCAGTCATGTGAACTTTGCAGTGAGAGATGGGACATTGAAAATATAAAGTTTGATAAATACCAACACTTTTTATTAAGGGAAAATATCTTTAAGAAGGTTAGGTATTGCATACCACTCAATTAAGTGTGACATGATGAAGAATAAGATGATTTGTGAATTGGTGTCAATTGTACATTTCCAAAATAAATCAGCTATATCAAAACAGTTTAAATATCAGGGAAATGAGAAACCGAATGTATGTATATTTTTCTATGGTCCTTATCCAAGAATTAGTAGTGAAATCAACTATACTTGAATAAGGCATATATATTTGATACCTAAAGACATTTTGGTTTCAATCAAAGTATGAGTAATCATTAAGACACAAATTTTTTGGTGATACCTGGCTGTCCCCAGTGGACAGGTGAGAAATATCTGTAAGTACGCACACTTCTCGACCGGCTATTCAATAAGCCTGTTGGGAGGGTCTCTTGAAACAAAGGATTGTATGGTATAAAAAGGGCAGACACCTCACACTGAACAATCGACAATCTGAAAATCTGCAAGATCTGAAAGACTTCAAAAACGTAAACACTTAAGGACTTCAAGACTTCTACGCTTCTAAACTTCTTCTATGACAATTCTGATCTAGACTTTTATCAACACGTCTATGACTATACTGAACTACTTCTTCTGATACTTTACTCATAATAACTACACTCTACTCTAAACACTACAATCAAGACTGCTATAAGTTCCAAAATATATATCATCTATCCTACTGCTAACACCTACTGCACTATCCCTCACTTGCTACCTGCGGCCATTTTGCTGAAGGAGTTCCAGCTGCCATTTTGTCTTGAGGACCATTTAAAGGCCCAACTACATCCCACTGGGGAAGCCTCAAACTCAAGATTTTGGGAGTGGTGAGACTGTGTTAGACTATTATAATTTTATTTGATATTTCTAATTTTCTAAAGACGTATAGCATTTGAATTGTGTGTTTAGGAATGTATTAAGGTTATACATATATAATTATCATCAACATAACTGTTTGAATATTGTATCGAGATTATATATATATTATTAACTAAGTTGTAGTGTTGTTGTAGTGCGATTTTATCAGAGATACTTTTCTTTTTTCTCTATGGCCACAAGAAATTAGAAATAATTTTTGAAGCACTATAAGGTTAAAACCTATCCCTAATAAAATGTTATATTTTCTTTTAAATTAATAGTCAGATATTGTATGATCCCATATAGAAATTAGCATATCATATTTTTGATTGTATGTACAAGTATACATTTATCACCAGTATTTTGCATTTGTATTAATATATATATAAATTTTGTACATAAATACATTTATTTATTTATCAAAAAGGCAATTTTTGTGTATATGGTACGAAATCATACTGGCTAAAAGGACTCAAGGCATATTATTAAGTGGTGATCAAATTATTAAGGTGTCCAAATTACTGGTTCATTAAATATTTGACGTAATTTACGGCTGGAGGCACTGCAATATTTTGTTTAAGGGAGAGGACACCGCCCTACATATTTAGAATAAATTATTACATAAACCACCACAGTTCTGAATTGATTTGTATTTTCAGAAATTCTGTTATTCTTTTGTTATTTCAGGAGATTACCCACAAAGAGAAATGAAATGAGCTGATTGGATGATAGTGACTGGAGTCACATGCATCCAAAAGCAACTAAATTTCGGATTCATTCATTATGTTATGATTTGGAGATTCTGATGGATCCACCTCCATCCAACATGAACATAGTGAGTAAGAATCCTCTTATTTTACTTTTTTTACCTTCCTGTATTTATTGCAATATGTTTCCATTGCATATGTAGGACATTTTTTTCTAATAATGAAAAATGTTAATGCAAAAACAATCGACTGATTATCCAAGAGTCAAAGACTACTACGCTGCTCTAATCCAATTAAAACAAATGAATCTGAACTAATACCTATTTCTTCATTCTGTTATTCAGTTGAATTTATTACTCCATTCTCAAATGATTTTGGTTGTTGGGCTACGCACATACAAATTAAACAAATGGTCTCTCAAGTTCAATCCCAATACAAAAAGAATCTTATTAGAATATTCGCTCACTAGAGTAAAAACAAATGTGTCCAAATCAATTCAATTCAGACCATTTGTCGTTATATTTTTTCAGATGCTTCAAACATTACCAAAAGGTCCAAACTATCTTATGTCAGCCAAATAAAACAAATGAATATGAAAAAACAAAATGAAACAAATTAATGTTTTCATTATTATTTACAAATAGTAAATTAAGGTGTTACCATAGGGCAGTACTATGGAAACCAAGATGATTCAATATGTGCCGCATCCTTAAGTCAGTAGATTTCAGGAAAGCATAAAGTATGGACTTTATAGGCACGTTACAATCTCAATGGTTAAAACCAAAAGAAGAGGTGTATACAATTATGCATAACAATAAATGGCTCCACTTTACAAATCACAATAGCACCAGATCATAATTGAGTCAAAAGAGAACATTGGAAAGGGTTACCCCCATGCAATATAATACATTGAATTGTATGTGCCACATGGGCTACCAGTTTAGAATAAATGAATTAGATACCACATTGTTTAAACATCAACAATCCCTATGCAAGTCTGGGAAGAGACTAATAATTGTAAGTGACACTAAAAATTGGAAATACCGGGTAACAGGATGACATAAACAGATTCAACAGTCTCACAAAAACGGTTTATAAGACAGGATTTCATTTATCCCTGGGGCTTGGGTGGCATTGACACGTTCAATCCATATTGTCTCTTTGTATTTCAATGGTTTTTATTAATTTTAAACAGTAGAAAACAGAGGCAACAAAACACACCCACGCAGGGGCTATCAATTGCACCAATAACATATTGCCTCTCTTTGGAGGATTTTTTTGTCCCAGTTATCACCGTGTAGATCTGGGCTAATCACCTACAAAGGCAGAAATCATACATATGTAGTGTAAAATTTGTGATATAATCCTATATGTCTACTAACCGGGGTTGAAATTTTACCATTACTAGAGTAATATATGAATTCAGATTCATGAATTTGTTGTCTGAATCTGTGAATAGTCTTGCCGTTGTAGTAAACGCCACATTGGCACAACATAATGTGTGGTGAAAATTTCTCCATTAGGGAGGTGAAAGCATGTGCCCTTATATACCCAAGGTCAATGGGGGGTAGTGCCCACATTTAGATACTCCATTCATTATAAAGACTTCTAGTTGTTGCAGTATGTAATAGCTATTCATTACTATGTGTCAGGAAACAAAACTAGTGCAGCTAATGCTAATTCTTCTGCAACTCATGTGATTTATCCAGCTAATTCTAATTCCCGTGCAGCTAATGCTCATTCATGTGTACCAGCACACAGACAAGCCCAGGCTAATATCCACGTAGATGCATTTCTATGCATCATCATGCATCGGTGTGCACGTCTTCCCGCATTGGTGCCAAGCTGCCTGTTTAAAACAGACTCTGCTGTGTATTAATCACTGGATGTTCTTCAGCTTCCTGTGACCCGTGTTCCTGCCTGTACTGACTGATTTTCCATTGCTGACCTGGCTTGCTCCTGACCTTGCTTTGTGGATTCCCAATTCTGACCTCGGCTTGCCTTAGACTTTTCTACCTGATCTCCTGTTGCTAACCTCGGCTTGCTAATGCACCCACTCTGCTTGCTAACCTGGTACTGACCCTTGCTTGCCTCCTGAGCACACTACTGTTTCACTGTGTATGACCCTGGCTCACCTTGACTACATCCCGGTCTGTGGCAATCACCTGCTATCAAGCTATCGGCACCTGTGCTTCTTTGAGCCTTGTACCTCTGTCACCACATTCAGGGGTGCTTGGACCACAGCTGCAATGGAAACCCTCTCATCAACTCGGTCTTCAACCAAGCTACGTGACACTCTGTCTCCTAGGGATGTAGTTTTTTGAAAAACTATTTCTGAACAATCTATGGTATATTTAGCTATCGTGGCATCTTCCCGTAGGAAGTGCCAATGACATTGTAAAAGTGTTATAATTTATTTAGGATTAGTTGAAGTTTGTTACTATTGTGATTCAGAGATTCATATACATCTAAATCTCCAAATCACGCAAATTTCATCTGAATTTCGATTTGTAACTGAACAAATTCCACATGTCTATTAACATGGACCATTTTGATACTTTGGATGGCCATTCAAAGGTACAGGACACTGTGTAGACACACGTCATGCCTGTATTGGGTAGTTTGTACAGCCACCACACCCCCCAACCAATCACAGCCTGCCTCTCGCACACATCCCCCTCCCAAACATAGTGTGCCCCTTGAACATGCCCTCTGGTTAAGCATAACCTGCATCTCATCTCAGACTGAAAGGGCTATGGAATACAAGTGCACTGT